CCGCCCCCACGCGGCCCCCGGGGGCGGGCGCGTGCCCCCTGCAGTTAATCACGGGACCGTCCCCGTCGCCCGCCGGGCTATTTTTGGTGGCCCGAACGCAAACACGGCCGCGAGGAGCAGAAAAGAAAATGAGTTGGCGTTTTCTCAGCCAACAACTCTCTTGTCGTCGTCGTCGTCGCCACCGCCGTCCCTTCTCTGCTCCCCCCCCCCTTCTCTCTCTCTCTTTCTCTCTCTCTCTCTCTCTGTGTCTCTCTCCCTCTCTCCTTCTCTCCCCCACACTCCCCCCGCCCCCTACCCGCTGCCGAACCCAATGTGAGGGGCTGGTCCCGGGCGGTATTATTTATTTGGTCGGCGCGCTTCATAAGTTCTCATTTTGGCGCTGAGCGGGCCTCTGATTTATTTCTGTGGAGCGGACTTGTCGTCTGCTGCGCCCGGCCGGGCCCGGCCTCGCGCTCTGATGAAGCGGCTGGTCCACAACCCCGTGTGTGGGCCCAATAAGTGTCTGCTTTCTAGAAAGTTTGTGGTCCCGACTTTCTGACGGCGTTTATTTATGTTTACCATAATTTTCCTTTCGGTTCGAAATTTTTTTCGAAGTGTGCACACTACTATGTAGTTGTGTGAAATGAATTTTCGTGCATCTAAGAGAGTAAAGTTGTGAATTTCCTTTTAAAATTCACACAGTTGTGCCTCCATGTACGAATGCCATTCACCCGCCTACAAGGGTGTGACATTCACACACTTGGGTCTTCAGTGTGTATTGCTATTGCATTTATCGTGTGTTAACGTTCTAACCTTAATCGTGTCTTCTTCTGTCTCTTTTTTAGGTCGGCGCGGTGGACGCACAAGTACATCGTGCTGGACTGCACCACGGAGATGGCCAAGGAGATCGTGGTGGCGCACGCCCGCGACGTCCAGCTCGGCAAGAGGATCTACCATTACCTGCTGAGTGGATTGGTGAGTCGATACGCGGCGTGAGCCGACCCCCGTACCGTACCCCCCGAAGTGCGTGGTCAGAGAAAATAGGGAATGTGAGCCAGCGGACCGTAAAAAGGACCTTCGTAAATTTACACCATATTTTTTGTTTGTGCTTGTAAATTAATGACAGCCCGTTCTTGCTCGTTCCAAGTCGATACGTACTACTTGTAATTTTACACATTGAAATAGTTATTTTACAACCCACATGGAGAATTTTCATGTAAATCTTTTAAAACTGCTTACTTCTTACAGCGGGTCAATGGAAAATAAAAAACGACAGTCTATTTCTTTTTAATCATGTTTAGATGAAATACGATGTTATCAATATAAGTGTGTTTTGAGAAATATTGGTGCTTATTAATGTAGATTTTTTTTCTTGTCGTTGTAAATTTGGTGTGCTGATCGGCTCGGCAGTATTCATGGCCTATAGCCTGTAGCCCTGGGGGCAAGGCTAGAAATAGGGGG